AGTGATGACACTGTAGTAAGTCCCACAAGCACAAAACGTGCGAAAGTAGCTGTTCGACCAGTTAATGAAGTTTGATTTCTGTGTCTCACCAAAGACCGATTTGTTTTAAAGCCTTTCACACCAAGTAAAGACTATATTTTATGCTATATCTTATATGCTATACTATTTTCTTAAAAGTTAGAACAAGTAAATTAGTTTTATGAAATCATTAGTATCTATAATCAGCAGTTATCAGCCACAATGTGCACAATTGTGTATGTACCTCTAGTACCTTCAGTAACTTTGTACACAATTGTGCACATGCAGTAATTTGCATAATTTATGCAGGATATATCAATTATTCATTTTCTGAAGTCACCTATTGTGATAATAATCAATTTTTTTCTAGAAGTATTACTATATTGTGACCGAAGGGGCTAACCGTCAGCAGATTCGCACTAGCGTGGGTCCAAGGACAAACACATAGTTACAAGTCGTTTGTTTCATCCAGAGTCAATAATCACTTGTACAAATTTCTCCTCTTGGAAACGTCTTCTGCGAACTACTGCTTATGCTCTTAGATTTGGCAACAACATTCATGCATGCGGCAACTTTTCCACCAAGGAAGGCCCTCTTAATTCCACCGAGATCCAAAATGCTGAAGAATATGGGTAAAGATTGCCCAAGTCGACGTTATGAAGCGAATGAAGAGAGGAGATTTTAAGACGTTAACCCCATTCGTGGACACACAGGGTGTGATTCGAGTTGGCGGTCATGTCAAACCTAGCCTAATATCAGACAATACCAGGCTTCCAGCCCTGTTAGATCGAAAACATTGGATTTCCATACTAGTAACCCACAATGCCAATCAAGTTTGTCATTCCGGTTGTTGACATGGATTCATAAAGTGTTTCATAGAGCCAATGTTTAACAAAGCTTTCTAGTCTCTGTGTCATCTCCTTGTATCATTTTGTCTCTTTGCAGTAAGACATTATTTAACATTATTTTTGTCCAATCAACAATTGGGATATTCTGGGCTGTTAAAATTTGATAAACTCATGAAAGCACATTTCTTACCTTTAGATTGAACACTGAAATGTTCATCACCATGATGTAGATTACTAGCAATATGTAAATTAGCCATATTTTTCCAGCAATTAATCTTTCAACCTTTTAAAAGCACATGGAAGGAAACATATGGGAAAAAATCTTGCTTGACCAGTCATTTCCCCTTATTCCATAAAAATCCCCCCCCCCCCGAAATGTTGACCAACCGACACAAATAGAGATTTCCACGCAAGCTCCAAAAGCTGCCATGCAACAACAAGTGCCTGGATCAGTGCATCCTCTTTGTGCCCACTATGCACAATCCTTTTGTTTCTCAGACCTGCTTGAGTGGAGTCCCATTTCTGTGTATTTCATCAGCAAGTAGATCTCATTCCAACCAAGTCAAATCCAGTTATGTTAGGAGGGGGTTGAACAGATTATACAGATTGTCTGAAACAAGAAATAAGGTTAGATGCAATTGTAGGAGATAATATATGCCACTTCACTATTAGATTTTCAAAAACAGTTTTTAAGTTTGGTATGGTTACCATTTTGAAGTCCATTTCACTCATTCTAAAAGTTACAAGGTCACATAAGCCTATTTGGGTATGAGAGATGCCTAAGCAGGATCATTAAGGACTCCATCCCAGAGAAAACTGATCGTTGGTGTAATGTTTTAACTAATATATTAGCAAAAATTTAATATTCAAATAAACCTGCAAAGGACTGCTGGGTGTATAAACTCTTGTAAATAATATTCGATATCTTTTCTTGTATATCTGTGGCTAGGATTTACTTTCATAAACATTCTTATATAAGAAGAATCTCACAAATGGCGATGAAGAGGGGACTTGGCGACGCGGTGCTGCTACGGGTTTGATAGATTTGTCAACATGAATACATACGGGTTCGCCTTGATAACTACCCATCCCACTGGTAAGGCTTGGAAACTCTTTGATGAACTCAGGAGCATTCGGTGGAAAAACTAGATCTGGTTGGTAAACAACATTAACAGCTTTAATGAGATTCTGCTTTTGAGAACCTGACCAGCTTAAAATTGAACTTGAAGTTAAAATTAATCTTGCTCACTCATTATGTTTACTGTTGCTCCCGAGTTGGCCATTATACTAATCGGTGTGTTCCCAATTTGTACTTCAAACATAGGCTAAACTAGATAACTTGACTGTTCACCGACAGTAAATGTATATTCTTCACTATTATCGCTCCAAAAACTTTCCAAGGCCACTCACTTTCTTTGGATGACTTTCTGGGGTCAATGATTTGGCATGCTCTTTACTTCTAGATGGTTTCAGACAGTTAGATATACTACGACAAACTTTCAAAAAGTGATTCTTTTTGCCACACTTATGACCTGTCTTGCCTTGTGCAGGGCATTTTGCACGATGTTTGTAAATACCACCACACAATCCACATGATTTTGGCTTTATTTCATGTGGATTGTGTGGTGGTATTTACAAACATTGTGCAAAATCTTTCTTAGACCTTGCTACTACATTTGAGTGTTGTCTATCAATTTCACTGGTTTGTTTGTTTGCAGTTTCTATAGCTAGAGCAGTTTTAAGCAAATTCTCTAGAGTAAGACTTTGTTCAATTGCTTTTCTCCTCAGCCTAAGTGATGAAGTGCCTTGGATGATTTGGCATTTTATTTCAATGTTTGCATAAAAAAATTCACACTTTTGCGCAAGCAACTGTAGACAAGTATAAAATTACATAATGTTCTCACCTGATTTCTGGGTTTGTTGTTGGAACAAGTAAACGTGATGATCCATGCACTTTTGCAGTTCAAAATGATCTGAAATAATTTTAACACAAACCTCAAAGACACTTTCTTCGCCGGTCAGCTCTCGGATGTTCAACCTTTGACAATGTCACAGGTTTCTTCTCCTACATAATGCAACAACATGGCTTTCTGCTGCTGAATCTTTGGTGGTATTCATAGCCTCAAACATGTTCTTTAACCTCTTGATGTACTTACTTCTCAAAATGTGTAGGTGCGATTTCTCTCGGTTGAAATTCAAACTCAGGAAAATTCAGTAGGTTTACTGACGTCGCCATTGCACAGATATTTCTGGCAAATAACAGTAAAATCTTAAGCTGAACTCTGCTGGAATTTAAATCCCATTTCATGTCCGGAAATAAGTAGAACAGAAGCTAGAGAAAGAAGGGATAGTGGAACGTGTCACCCATAGTAGTGGTACCGAAACCCCATAAACCCAATGAAATTAGAATTTGTGTTGACAGGAGCACGTTATTAAAGCCATCATCCGAAAGAGGCATGTTATTCCAACTATTGATGATGTTGTACATGATCTGAATGGCTGTAAAGTATTCAGTAAAATCGATTTGAATCAAGGCTATCATCAGATTCCTCTTCACCTCGACTCTAGACCATTGACCACATTTTTCACGCATATGGGATTGTTTAGGTACAAGCGTCTAAATTTTGGAATCTCCTGCGCAGCCGAAATATACCATGTGTGAAGAACATCAGTGATGACATTTATGTTGGTGGCATCGATATTGAACTCAAACAGTCAACATGAGAGTCAAATTATTAGTAGAGAGCAACATGGTTCAAAAGCATGATTAAATACAGTTCTGAACTCTGAACAACCTGAAAGGACACATCTTTTTCAAGATATTAAGTCACAGTGAAATGACTGATCAGGGTAAGAAATTTAGCCTCTTTTTGCCAATTATTTTGGATTTATTGTACTTGTATGGGTTTAAACCAATTATTTCATTATTTGACATTTTCAATGACATACACTGAATTAAATTACTTCATATAGTCAAAGAAGTACAAGTAATCTTTACAATTGAGAGCAGCAAAAAATATGCTCATCTTCAAAGATTTAAGGGGTCCAGGGTGTTAAGGGTTGCAAAATGTTACAGTTTTTTTAAGGGAGCCACCTTAAAAAATCAAGTCACTAACCAACTTCAAGGGTTAATAATTTATTGTAAATACTTTATTGCCTTCTTTTAATAAGGGACATCTTTGCATGTTAATACAGCTATTTACAAGCAACGTGTAACATGGAAAATTTGCAAATATTTGTTAACGTTTCAAAAGATCATGTTTGACCGGAAAATGATAGGATCTTGAAACAAACCAATAAAAGTTTGCCATGATCTCTGTGTTCTAAAGCAGTTCCAAACTAAACTTTCATGCAGTTAAATTGTTTATGGTTCATCCCATTTCAGAAATAACAGGGTAAAACTTGGCATATAATGGTGTATACAAGTTCTCCAGTTTATGAATAATACCTTTATATCAAACATTGTTTGCCATGAGATAAAATGTGATGCTATTTCAGATTTGGTTTTAAATATCAGTGAAAGCTCATGTTTCCAATTGTTGAAAAATCTAATCACATTGTCAAGGTCTGCCATCTGGATCATTTGATGATGAAAGAGGTGTATTATCATTCAATACTTTTCAAAAGGTTTCACAGTTTGTGATAAACTCTTGGGTGGACTCTGTTGCAACATGATCATGTCTTTCCATATCTTCTTCCTTTACCTGCATCAGCGAAGAAATTAAAGGTGTTCGATCAAGCGAGCTAGCAGAGCAGTTCAACTTGGAGAAGAAGAAAGTCAGTCGTGGCAGAGGCCATGTTGATCTTCTAATTGGAATCAACCACGCATACATGCATACCGGCCCGACCAAACAAGTTGAACGTTTGATTGCTCGGAAATCTCTGCTGGGTTGGGTGATTTTTGGATCGCCACCCCAAGACTTGAATAAAGTGACAACCTCTGTTCTCCATGTTAAATATGCCAACCCAGTGGATCTGTCGGATTTCATTCTGCGCTTCAGAGAAAATGAGGTCGCTGTAGCTGCTGATATATCAAAATTGTATCAACGAGTGCTCATCCCGTTGGAAGAGAGACACGTACACAGATTCCTGTGGAGAAATTTAGAAACGGACAGACCGCCTGACACTTATGCAATGAATGTATTAACGTTTGGTGACAAGCCTGCACCAGCCATGGCTCAAGTCGCGCTGCAAAAGACAGCCGAGGAAGGAAAGAGTATTAACCCGGAAGCAGCACGTACCAATAAAGTCAACACCTATATGGATGACATTCTTCACTCAGTTAACACAAAAGAAGAAGCCAAGAAACTTACAGGTGATATTGACAGCATCCTTGAGAGGGGTGGATTCAAAGTGAAGTTGGCAATCGAATACAGATTTGGACGACCGTGACACGAAAGCAAGTGAAATCAAAGTGCCAAAATGTAAACCAGAAGCAAAAGTACTTGGTGTATCGTGGCGTGGGATAGGTTGAAAGATGTCCTGAAATACAAATTTGAAATTGAGGCTGTGAAATTCTGCACAGCCGATCTCACCAAGCGTAAGATTTTAAGTCAGGTTGCTAGAATTTACGATCCCATCGGTTTTGCCTCGCCCTTCCTCGTAAGAGCAAAGATCAGCCTCCAAGAACTATGGGAAGAAGGAGTAGACTGGGATGATGAGCTGCCTCCAAGCATTCAAGAGAAATGGTCATCGTACTTCAAAGAGATGGAGCAGCTGAATGACGTATCGTTTGAGAGATGTATTTGTCCAGGGAAAGTGGTCGAGCCGCCAACGTCATGTGTATTTGCCGATGCATCGCGAGGTGCATTTGGGACATGTGCATATCTGAGAAGTGAAAATTCCACAGGAGATATCAAAGTTAGATTTGTTGCGGCCAAATCACGAGTTGCCCCGTTAAAAGAGCTAACTATCCCACGTTTAGAGCTCCAAGCAGCTGTGTTGGCAAGCAGGTTGTGCAAAGCGATAGAGCGAGAAATTCGGATCGAGCTCCAAGAAAGTATTTTAGGCCGTTGGCTGTGACGCAAAAACACTCAGTTTCGTCGCCCCCAACGCGGTGCTAAGATATTTTAGCTGGGTTTAGGAAAATAAAGTGTGCTGATTTCAAATATCTTTGTTCCCACACGCCAAACCGCGCAGTTTTTGCACAACTCACGGCCAAAGTTCTATATTTTCATATACTGAGAGCCATTATGAATTCCGCGGTATCTTTGATCTTTCGGCTACATTACTTGAAGTATTGCAAGTGTTCGAGAAACGTGGGCTCATATTAAATAACTCAAATTATAAAATATAAATATGGATGAACCACCAAGAAGAACGCTTTCTGCACGACAATGTTTTATTCATTTCGAAGGTAAATCTAGGGAATTCTTCTCGTTCAAGTTAACACAGTTGATAAAACCTGAATGAGTTAAAAACGAGGGTTAGTTTGGATGAAAAACGTACTCAAATCGTGACCAATGTTGGACATCGCGAGCGTTAAACGCATTGTCTATATCTCGTATATCATAGAATATTTTGTACAATACGGGTATATAAAAGTTTCCATTACAGAAATATAACAAGATTATGTACTATAACTTCCAATATAGTAATTAATAAGATTTTCCAAGTATTAAATTGCTTATTTCTTCATGGACTTGGTGTTAGTATTGCTCAAGGACAAGCCAAGGTTTTATTATACTGTATATAGAAATAGGTATTTATAAAAGACGTGTAAAGGAAATAAATATGCTCATATTGGTTTAGTTCGGTGTGTTGTTATTTCCATTTTAATTACACATTTGACATAGGTCGATCTGAGTCGTTATTCCGCATAAGAAATCTGACAGTCTTTGCCTGCCCCACAATCCACACATCGTAGTTTTAGCCCTTATCAGGAAAATGCCATTCACCAAACGGCAATGTTTTATTCGTTTTAAAGGAAAGTCTGGTGAATTGTGTCAGTTAACACCGCATACATTTGCTAAAATAAGCGAGTATTGTCAAAAGTGGGTCAATTTGGACGGCGAGCAAAGCAAAATCGCCGCCAATGTTGCTGAGTTTATGAAACATTGGTCACTTGATTCGGAAAATGAGCTAGTGCCAGAGGAAATTGCAAATGCGCGATATCACAAAGAGTGCTATGTTCGTTTCTGTGATAAAACAAAAATCGAAAGAGCCGAGAAAAGAATGAAGAAAAAGGAAATGACTGTTGAAGCATCCAGCCATGGTGAACCGAGCACTCCTGTTATCAACCGACCAGCACCTGCACCTGTGCGTATATCACCACGGACATTGATTAGCGGTAGTGAAGCGATTCCCAGACGAAACAGACACGTTCTACCAGAACGGTGCATAATTTGTAAAAGACAAGATGCGTACAAAGTGGACAAGGTGATCTAAAAGTTACCTTACAAAACAAATATATTTTTAAGTGGCTGCGAACGCGGCTCGACTACTTTCAAACCGTAATAGTTAATCACTGACGTATATTTTATAGGTTACTAGAAAACGAAAATTAGATAAGCTTGTTCTGGCGGAAACGTTCAACGGAGGACTTTTGAGGGAGGCTGCAGAAAAGAAAAAAGACGAGTCGATTTTAGCACATATTAGAGGTAAAGACTGTGTTGCTATAGAAGTACGCTACCATAGGCATTGTCATTTGGATTACTGCAGATTCCTGACCCGAAAATCCACAACTAGTAAGCCACTGATGAACTATACCAATCAAGCTACATCGCCTTCTGTTCGAAAATAATTGACAAAAGGCTTATTGAAGAAAAACAAATAATGCGAATGAGGGTGTTACACGACATTTTTGTGGAACAAGTTATGAAATTTGAAAAGCTTGATGCATCCAATTACCGTCCTACTCGACTGAAGGCTAGACTACAAAGAGACTATCCACAACTTGTCTTTCATCGTCCTGCAACCAGGAATCAAAGTGAACTGGTCTTTGTTGAAGAGTTATCTGTAGGTGAAGTAGCAGAGACCCGTGAAACAGTAGATACTGAGGAATTTGAGAGCGATAGCGATATGAAATGATTGCTGAAGCTTCAATGGATAAAAAGGAAGTAACGTTGAAAGAATTCTACGATGTTGCTTTGGCTTTAAAAGATGCCATAAAAAGAGCACCTGCAATGAATGCAACTTGGCCACCATCCTCGGTCGATCTCTCAACAGACCAAGTACATAAAATGGTTCCAATTTTGTTGTTTAATTTCATTGCTTGGACATTAGGCTTCTCAGATTATCCAACAATGTCGACTCGGCTTGAACTAGAAGAGTCACAGTTGACAAAAGTGATGTCGATCTGTCAAGACATGTTGTTTATAGCGTCAAATGGAAGGAAACAAACACCAAAGTCGTTAGGACTAGGTATGGCTGTAAGACAGCTTACGCGGTCATCACAACTCACGCAAATTTTGAATGGTTTTGGCCACTGTTCTAGTCACTCTGCCATTTTAACATATGAAACAGACTTGGCTAGGTTAGCTATAAAATCAGACTGCTATATCCCAAAAGGCGCAGAAAAACATAAGTTTACTTGTCTGGTGTATGATAACGACGACTTCTCGGAGGATTCTAGAACACAAACCCATATACTTGGTGGTATATTAATTCAACGGGAGGAATCATTTGACAATCAACCAGCCGTAGTCTCACAGCAGCTGAAGAAGGGTGGGAGAACTTTCCAGGCTCCAAGTGAAGCTATGGTTCCGTACAGCCTTGGCAAAAAGAAGACACCAAGCTTCCTAAATACATCAGTTTCATCAACCATTTTCGAAACAGACGACCCGTTGCATCAAGAACTTGCTAGGAGGTTAGATATTGCCTATTTTGTGATGAAGATGCTGCAGAATCACTACGGAACGTTACTTCCTGGTTGGACAGGTTTCAACATTCTTCTAAGGCAATCAGCAATACCACCAATGTCTCGAATCAGATACCTACCAATAATTGATGGATCCCCCAGTGAATACTCAACATTGTATACAGCGCTTTTAAAGAGCGTGGATATTGCAGATAAGTTGTCACTAGAGCACATCGTCCTAGTTTTTGATGAAGCAATCTATGCAAAGATTCAACAGATTAGGTAAATACTAAAGTGCCGAATGGCATTTTTACCAAACTGATACCTTCTTGAGTTATTAGAATTTCTAAGGAGCCTGTTTCATTGCATACCTCTCGCTTCCGTGCATTACATTCTTTGTTTTTATCTATATTATCAGGTGGAAAGATGCGACTTTTATGAAGAGGTTTGTTGTCAGGCTAGGCGAATTTCATGCGACAATGTCGTTCCTGAGTGCAATAGGGAACATGTTCAGGGATGCTGGGTTACAGGTATAAGAGCATATTTTCTCCATACCGTAACTTCCTTGTATCACAATATTTAATTGTCGATTTTTGAGATTAGGGCAGGATAGCTATATAGGTTTATGTAACAAATGTCTGTAATATTTTTAGGATATACTTATCGAATCTGATGTTGTTGGACAAGGACAAATTAAGGGTGTATTAACAGGAAAGCATTATAATCGAAGTATGCATTGCCACAAAGTAATGAGTGAAGCTCTGCATAGACTTCGCTTCCAAGCATTTTTGGATAGCCTCAGTTCTGAGGATTACAATAATGTCTACTCAGTCGCGTCTGACCTGCTGAACATATTTCCAGACGAGAAATTTCAGGATAGCCTTACAGCTGAACCATTCTCACATATTGTTGATAAATACGAGGATTTTGTTGTGCAGGAAAGTGAAGGCAACCCAACGTTTGCATTGTGGAGTACTTACCTTGAAATGACAGGCATATTACTTCAATTTGTAAGGTGAGAATATTAATCGGCCTACTTCTTTTACTGTATAACAACTACCTTCAATTTTGGAAATTTGTGGTTAACATATATTTAATCAAGAGGCATGCAACAACTGTTTTTTTGGGGAAATAAGTTGTATCGACTCCTATAGAGCTACACGAGAAGGAAATTGGGAACTTCATCTCTCGACTATGCGTTCAATGCTAACATGGTACTTCGGATGTGATCGAGTGAATTATTGCCGCTATGGAACGGCATATTGGCTTGAAATGACAAGATTACCAGATACACATCCAGGTAACACGCGCATCCTTATGGTTTTTTGCCTTATATTCCAATCAAAATTTGGCTGGTGTACACAAGATTAGTGTGTCGTGCTATTTCATCAATTCTTTGAATAGATACTTGTTTCCACTTTTTCTATTTTTAGCAATATTGGGAGATCTACGTCAGCAATGGACTGTGCAACGCCAACAGAATCATGGATTTTCCTCAATCGCGTGTGACATGACTATTGAGCAAACATTAAATAGAGATTCGAAAACTACGGGTGGTAAGACCTAATTGATTTCTAGTTCTCCAGTTGCATGTCCATGCACCGATTTTAAGAGTACACACTTTTTTTTTCAGGAATGGTTGGAATAACATTGAACCGGGGTGCGGTGCAACGATGGATTCTTTCTCAATCTGATAGATCTGCTATCACAAGAGAATGCATGAAGATGGCAGGCACTGACACAGTTAAAAGGTCCCGTATATTAATATTTTTCTTTTTCATATAAGTCAACGTCGTTTTAATGTTTATACCTCAACTTTATAGGAAAAGAAAGGAATTAGACATGCCACAAAGAACTCGCCATGAGAAAGATGTCTTGGGTATAGTGAACACGCTTCAGAATATGATAAATCCTTTTGAAACGGATAATGATATAACAGAAATGATTCACTTGTCAAGTGGTTTAGTTGCTACACAAGAAGTAAAGAATGACTTACTAACAACGAAACAACGAGGAGAAGAATGCGTGACTGCTTTTCTAAGAGACAGATTACTAGTTCAAGAGCCTGATATTTTTTCAACGATTCCCAAGCTGAAGTTGAAAACTTTTTCATCGATGACTAAGAAAGTTAAAGTTAGTTCAGCAAAAGGTGTTGAAGCCACCCTTAAGAATAACCGTAACCTATTCGCTCGAATGCTCTTGCTGGCACAAAGTAGAAATGTTGACATGAAGGAAGTTCTAACTTATTCCTTGGGTCCATTTCCTTTATCTCTTTCAACCGGGATGGGCACTTTGCACAAAACCCAGAAGAGCAAGTTGATGACATCAATTGAGTCAAGTGTGCAAGATCACATAATCGATAGTCTTCCGGCTGGAAACGCAGTTATTCTTGATGGAATGGCAATCATTCAGTCCACGAAGAAGCTACCTTCATCGTTTGGAGAACTTGCAGAGCAGTTGTTTTCAAGGATGATAAACTTGGCGATTTATCACAAGTCTTCGCGTGTCGATTTTGTGGTAGACCGATATCCAGATGTAAGCATCAAAAACCTCGAACGCAACAAGCGGGCAAGCGGTGGATTGGCAGTAATCAATATATACGGAGCTGAGCAGAAACTGCCGACACAATGGAGCAAATTTCTTAAGCATGGTCGAAACAAAGAAGATCTTGTTCGGTTTTTGTTTGAACAGTGGAGTACATACGCATCATTTATGTTTAGCGGTATTGTAGTCTACGTTTGCCATGATGACAAATGCCATCGCCTTAAGCCGGGTATTGAAGGTGCACCTCTCACGATTCGAGAAATAGCGACATTATCTTGTGATCATGAAGAAGCGGACACAAGAATGCTGCTGCATGCAAATCATGCATCTCAATCATATGGAAACATTTTGATAAAGAGCCCCGATACAGACGTCTTCATTATTATGCTTTACTTTTGCCATATTCTCCAATGCGAATTGTTCTTTGAGACCGGTGTGAATGAGAAAACTCGTATCATAAATGTACGATGTGTTCAGCAGCAGATTGGTGAGAAAGAAGGCAAAGCGTTAGTTGGATTTCATGCATATACCGGTAAGCAATAATTAGTCTGCAAATGTTTATAATGTTTATAATCTAAAATATATGAATAGTTCATATCATTACCAGCAAAAAAAGCTAGTACAATCTGGATAAATGTTCGTTCCTTTACCACCTTTAGGGTGTGATTCCACTAGCTCGTTTTATGGTCGAAGTAAAATATCCACCTGGAAGTTAGTTTCCAATGACGAAACAGCTCTTGATACACTTGCTCGCCTAGGAGATGATTTACAGTAGAATGAACGCATCCAGAAAACCTTGAGTCATTGACAGTATGCTATATGGGGCTAAGGAGACCGAATCTGTCAACGAAGCAAGGTATAATCTATTCAGAATGGGCAAATTCTCTGACGAATCCTTGCCTCCAAACGAGGACTGTCTCTTACAGCACATGCAGCGGGCAAATTACCAGGCAGCAGTATGGAAAAGGGCAACAACTCAGATTATTGATGCACCTTCACCTACTGTTCATGGATGGAAAATTGATGAGGAGGGAAATATGTGGTGTGGATGACGAAGAAATGTGCCCCAGATGTGCTACTCAAAGATTGCAACTGTAAATGTAAGGCAGGGTGTTCAACCTTAAGATGTTCCTGTAAAAAGTCAAACAACAAGTGCAATGAAATGTGCCAGTGCGTTGGGTGCACAAATTGCCCCAACGCATCCAGCGAAAGCCTTGAAGATGATTCGGAGGATGATTTGGGAAGTGATATGGAGGATGAAAACTAACATTCTATACACCCAGTATTTGTTAATATATATATATATATATATATATATATATATATATATATATATATATATATATATTATACGTATTTTAGAATTATTTGTAGAATATCAGAGTTTACATGACCAAATTTTTGTCGTGATTTGATTTTGTTTCCCAGCCATGTTTTTAGCCGTTTTAAAATTTTTCCAGATTTTATCGACTGTACTAACTTGAATGTGAAGCTAAATGTCACAATTCGCCAGATTTATCTTCGAAATGATTAAAATATTGCCGTGAAAGAAGCGTTATTCTGGGAAATCATCCATATTTTCTGATTCGATTGTTTATGCGCCTACGTTTCGTGAGTACGTCTGAATACTTCAAGTAACGAAGTCGAAAGATCAAAGATACCGAAGAATTCAAAATGGCGCTCAGTTGATAAAAATACTGAACTTTGGCTGTACATTATGAAAAAACTGCGTGGTTTGACGTGTGGGAACAAACATATTTGAAATCAGCAGATTTTATTTACCTAATTCCCGTTTAAATATGTTAGCACCGCGGTAGGGGCGACGGAATTCAATTTCTAGCCTTAATTTGGCCACACAGCCAACGGCCTATTTTATTTACAGATAGCACAATAGTCTTGGCCTGGATTAAAAATAATGGATTGGACGAGACTTGTTCGTGTCACAGCCTGGGTACTGAAATTCAAGAATGCGTACCTGGCGAAGATAGGACGACCTAGCAAGGAGGATTCGGTAAATGAAGAGTCACTAAACCCGAAAGATCTCGAGAGAAGTCAAACCGTCTGGATTAAGGAAGCTCAGAAGTGTCTAAAGAATCGCCTGAAAAGAAACGATTTCCGAACACTTTCTCCCTTTGAAGATGAAGAAGGTGTAATCAGAGTAGGTGGTCGCATCGACAATGCACTAGTTTCATATGAGACACGACACCCGGCGTTGCTCCCTTATGACCATACAGTTTCACGATTGATAACCAAAAGGGCTCACCGAATGGGACACTCCGGTGTTGCGACCACAGCTGCAAAGACAAGAAGACGATACTGGATACTCAAAGTACACGACCTGGCAAACACAATCAAGTCTAATTGCGTAGTTTGTAAAGAAGCAAACCCACAAGTTGAGAATCAGTTGATGGCAGATCTACCATCGTTTCGCATAGCACCTCATTCTCCTCCATTCCACTACGTTTCCTGTGATTACTTCAGTCCGTTAACAGTCAAAGTTAGTCGTAACAAGACAACAAAGCATTATGGCATTATCTTTACGTGCCTAAATACGAGAGCTGTGCACTTGGAGATCGCGACTGATTGTTCTGCCATGGAGTTCATTCAAACACTTCGACGATTCTTTTCTATCCGAGGATATCCTGCTATGATCCTCAGCGATAATGGTACGCAGTTTGTCGGAGCGTTGACCGACCTGAAGAATATGATTCAAGGAGCTGACAAGAAATTATTAAAAGAGTATTGTGTTGATAAAGGTGTACAGTGGAAATTTATCACCCCGGCAGCACCCCACCAAAATAGAACGGCGGAAGCGTTAGTGAAAAGTTGTAAATTGGCACTTAAGAAAGCTATCGGTGAACATGTATTAACCCCGTTCGAACTGTACACATGCTTACTCGAAGTAGCGAATTTGGTAAATCAGCGACCCATCGGAAGACCATCGAACGATCCAGACAACGGTGTTTATCTATGCCCGAATGATATGTTGCTTGGAAGAGCGTCACCTGAGGTTCCGCAAGGTCCTTTCCAAGAAACGAAGAATCCGAGAAAGAGAGTTGAATTCATCCAAAAAATCATAGATTCGTTTTGGAGACGCTGGACAAGAGACGTGTTCCCACTGTTGGTCCCAAGAAAGAAATGGAATTCAGCAAAACGGAACGTACGAATCGACGATATGGTAATGATGCAAGATGGAACTGCAGTACGAGGAAAATGGAAAATTGGACGCGTGATTGAAGTATTTCCAGGAAAGGACAAGAAGGTGAGAAACGTGAAGGTAAGAACAGCGACAGGAGTGTATTCCAGACCAGTGCAAAAGATCGCAGTTATCCATCCAGCAGAAGGAGACGAAGAATGAGGACAAAGCACTCTCCTTTGGCGAGGCCGGAGGATGTTTCGATGAGGGACTAAGTACGAACTTAATAATATTAACTTTGATTGACATTAATTGATTAATTGCACGAGATTGTATAGGTAATATGAACCAAGGAACACTGAACTGATTTAGGTGGAGATACGAGAGCACGTTTGCGTGAAAAGGACTTTTATTCTGTTAGCTAACCTGTTTAATTTGATTTATGTGTGATTATTTAAACATTATGTAGAACGCGTAGACCCGACAAGAAGTAAGTAAAGACATTTATAATATTAACATAAAATGCAACAAAGATAGAATGATTTAAACCCAATGTAACCTAAACTTATATTTACTAATCTAATTGTTAATCATTATTTGTTAGATCGAATAATTACATCAATATAAAACCACAAATTATATGATTCCGTGTTCTACGTTCTGACCCGATATTCCAAAAGTTATTCAGTCAAGATCCATTGAACCATACGATCCACCCTATCCATCTGATGCACTTCATATTTTTGCTCAAAATGCTCCTGTTAATGAACATAACCAAAAGAAGCTTGAAGAAATTCAAAGACCTCTCTTTATTCTTAAAGCAAAAGATCAATATCCAAAAAACATCAATAAAGCAGACATTAATAGACTTTTAGCAAGAGGACGGTCTGACACATGTGGACTTGATTATGAAATACGAATTAAATGAAGGTGCCAGAGTAATGCTTACTACAAATATCAACATACAAGATCGACTTATCATTGGTCAAATTGGAACGATATATTACGTTTGATGATGAGAAAGCTGGTAAAACTACAACAAACACCACTGCCAACATGTTTGCAAGAGAGAATCATGTTGTACCGATAGAGCCTGTTCTTGCAAAAATCAAAGTTAGACCTGGAAAAGCATCATCTCCAGAAATACAGAGAGTACAATTTCCTACAGCACTTTCGTGGGCATGCACTGTTCACAAAGTTCAAGATCTTACTCTGCAAAATGCAGTTGTTAACATGCAGTTGAATATTAAGATATTTTAATTAATAAATATTAGATCTTTAAGAAAGCATAATAAGGATATCAAGTCTCATTGTCAATTGTTTAAATCTGATGTTCTTGCATTTACTGAAACACAACTTTTACCTAACAATTTGTTACATGAAATTACAGAAAACTTAAAACCTTTCAAAATTTATCGTCAAGATCATACCACAGACAAGTATCTAAGTATGGTAATCTGTATTAGGAGTACTTTGGAAATGGAGAATTATCAATAAATTCCTTCGATAAATGCGCTAAAGTTTGATCTGCTTCATACTGAACAATAACAAACACGTTCTTTTCTTTTACTGTATAGAAAAAACAACTAGAATGTTCCACAATTTTTGGAAGCATTGGAATATGTGCTTCGTAATTCTAACATTCACATGGTCTTAGGGGATTTTAACATAAACTATTTCAATGAGAATCATTCTCAACCACTTACGCTTTTGATGAAGTCATTAAACTATACCCAAATTGTTACCGAACCCACATTTATTTCCTCTGGTAGTTTGTTAGATCATGTCTACGTTAAAACAACTTCCTTACAAATAATCAGGAGTTCCGTACTCAGTGTTTATTATTCTGATCATGATGCTGTTGTTACCTGCATAAAATACTAAATAATTACTTTATAACAAGTCATCGTATATTGGAAATGTTCTATAGCCTTTATTACAAATTAAAATGGTGCACACATTTAACAGATTTTTACAATGTTACCTTAGAATGCCTGTGTATATCATATGATGCCAACCATTTAATCCAATTATTACATGTATAATGAAACAATGTTATAATATATACGGAATATATGGACACAATATTTTACGTTTCTCTCACTTTTGGTTATTTTGAATATGGAAAATTTACCGTTATTCAGTTACCATGAAAAAAAGAGAGTTAAGCCCTTGAAATTATTTGATTGCCCGTACGTTACTTCGGGAAAATCGAAATCGTTTTCAAAGCATTTGAAAGGCGGTGGATATAATTCTACAACCAAGAGGTAAGGAATATTCTGTGCCTTAGAATACACTGTCGCTGGTTGGTTTGCTAGCCTCACTTGATATATGATGATTTCTCAACCGTTTAATGGTTAAATTTGAGATAAAATCGTACACATCTCAAATTTAACCATGACCAATTGAGAAAAATGAATCAAATCTATCGGGCTTTTTTTCCACAGGAATGAAACCTGTTTTAACTAGGATTTTAAATGCAGCTATATGATTTCCAGTTGCAACTGTTAACTTTACCAATTAATAGTAGCCTTATATTTACTGTATCTTTTTGACATTAAACTTTCCTCATGTATCATAGATAGAATATATTATACAAGAAACCATAGCTGATAATATAACCAAGACTTACTGATGAC